GCAGCCATAAGAAAATAATAAACGATTGCAAATTTATTTTTAATTTCATCAGTCAAAAAAGATAGAAAACTTTTTCACAAAGAAGGTTGTCAAAAACAATTTCTTTGTTTGATTAACATTCCCTATTTCCATATATTTTTTATTGCTTGATGAAAAATTGTTAACTAACATTAATGTGTTTAGTCGAAAATATATTAAGCAATCTAAATCTTTAAACAAATATAAAAAGTGTTTGATTTTATAAATGTAGGAATATGTAAAAGGAATATGTTATATCTAGCATTTATATTATCGACATTATATCGGCAAAATATATACTGCACTACCTCTACACATTTTTCTAAATGTTTTTCAATTTATTTATTTTACTTCATAGTTATTTATTAATTTTATTAATTTTGTTTTGTTCATGGTTCACACTGTATATTTTTCTAGAAAAAAAAAAAATTAAAATTTTTGGACTAACAGAAAATGTAAATTACAATTCTCTTTCTTTTCAACAACAGAATAATTCTTATTTTCAAAATGAATAACATTTTTTCAAAATATAAAGATTATATCCATAAAAATTAAACGTCAACATTAGGCCCTTTCTTTTGTAAGCATGTCGCAAAAGAACAACATAAAATTAACTCTACTTTTGATTGCAACTCTGGAAGAACCGGAAATTTTGTTAGGCTTAAAAAAAAGAATTGAATATTATTTGTGAAATATTTCTTGACAATTAACTGGAAATTTTGTACGTACTTTCAAAAATCGTTCACAATAGATGAATTTTTAGTCTTGGCAACCATATGATTTGAGCAGTTTTAAAAAAGTTGGAAGTTAAAAATAAGCCAGCAGTAAGCTTTTCTTTTGTAAGCATGTCACAAAAGAACAAATAAAGTAAACACTACTTTTGATGGTAACTCTGTACAAAATGGCGATTTTGTCAGGCTTTTATGTGCAAACAAACAGTATGTTTAATTCAATATTTTACAACTGAAATAAATGAGTTAAAATAAATAAAATGAATGTAAAATTAAGAAGTTTTCTATGTTGAATATTTATACTCTCGAGAATAAAGTTTTCGACCTATGTGGTATAGATATGAGAAAATGTCACCTATACAAACATTGAAGTAATCTATTAATTTTAGTCAAAGACTCTGATAGACTCTAATAGTTAGGAACTATTGGTTTAAGTAAAATCTTACTAGTTACACAGTTTCGAAGGTATTTTATTGCAGAAAATACAAAATATTGGCAATACCTTGAGAGTGAAATTACTATAGAACATTTTTCAAACCGTCTAAAAACAAAAATATATTAAATCTTTAAACTAGTTATTAAATTATAATTAACTTATGTCAATGAGATGATTTTGTAAAATAGTTCATTAAAAAAAATACATATTGTAAAATAAATGCAACATTAATGCTAACTTAAATTCAACGTTTTGAATAAATATTTTGCATAATCAACTATGCGAGTAGTTGTTGTTTATGCGAAAACTAATAATATATCTCTAAGCTATACTAACATATAAAATATGTAGAAATGTTGATTCCAAAGGGGATATAAAGCAACTATTCGCTTAATGCAGCGCAGCATTCATTATTGACTGGCTGGGTTTAGTTGAATCTGTTTAAAAATGTAGAAACAAGTGGAGCAGAAATTCAAATATAAATACTAGATATGTATATATATGCACATACATTAGTGGATATATATACTGAAGTGATATACAAAAATAATAACGGAAAAGGGAAAATAACAAATAAATGTGGAAATGCCGGGCATTTGCATAAAATCGAAAGTCATTGACATGTACGTTTCCGAACAATTGGAAACAATAAAAATATATTAGTCATGACATTTGATTATTATCTATATGATTAAATAAGTAAATCTTGAAGAAGAAGAAAATGTCTGCTATAACATGAAATAACTTTTAACTTAATTATTTAATTACATTTAATAATTAACAAAATTTTTAATATTTTTAATGCAATTTTCGTAGATGCGTTCCAACTGATTTCTTCCAAAACAAAAACTTGAAAAAATAAGAGAACATTGCAAAGCTTTTCGAAGACGCAAAGAGTACGAAAACAGAAGAGTACGGCAAAAAAAATATACAAAAGCTTATATTTCAAAATAAAATTCCATTTCGTTGAGTATGGAAAAAATATTAAAAATCAGTTGTTTTGGAACGTTTATGTGCGGCGGTTCGTTGGGGACGACATGTGAAAGACTAGAAGCTCTGCATTGTTTTTGTAATTAATCATAAAAATAAAATTTTACAGAAACGCTATTTTGTACTAAAACAGAGAATGTGTCATTTATAAAAAATATTTATTAAAGCACTCGTCGTCGTATGCTAATTTAATGTTAAATATATAATTAAAGTCGGCAAATAACTCACCGATATGTCTAAAGGTCAATATTTTATGATCTGCCAGTACAGCGATTAAAAACACTGACTATTTTATGGACACACACACACACACACACAAACATATAAGCGTGTACTAAAAATTTCATTGCAAAATAAATGTTGTTTCGCAAAATAAAAAAAAATATAAAAAAATAAAAATTAAAAACAAAACTTGATTAAATATTTTACTTACTATACCTTTGCAAGAAAATGTGGCGGCAAATTGAAATGTTTTTTTTTTATCATTAAATAATAAAATAATATAATCACTCATTTATTTTACTTTTTTCGGTTTTTTAAAAAAGAGTTTTATAATTTATGTGCAAAATCACCTGATTAAATATGTTTATTTATATATAAAATTTTTTGAAAAAATTTAAAAGAAAAATAAAATATGTATTTATGTTTTTATATATTTGTTGCAAATATGTTTATATCTAATATACATAAATATGCATAAAAGTTCAATGAATTTTGTAGCGGTTTATAAGTGATCCACCAAAAAGCACTACTACTTTATGTTTAAGAAATGAATTTCATTATTTTACTTAATAATATTAAATTTTAAATTATAAATGAGTACAAAAAATCTGATAAGCCTGCTGTTAGCTACCATTAACATTTCAATTGATTATTACCATCTTTTCACATAAAAAAATAATGCTAATCTTTCTCTCCATAAAATCTAAAAGAATTATACTACAAACGAGTACTCGTACAACATCAATTAGACTATTTGTTCCGAGATTTGTCTTAACAAAAAGAAACAAAAGCAAAAACAAAAACAAAAACAAAATCTAAAGATTAGGAATTGACAGCGGTACAAGGCACATAGACGACTTAAAAAAGCAATAATAATAATAATGAAGAAACTATATAACAAAAACATTCTAAGTTGATAAGATAAAGTGGTCCATAGCCCGAAGCACAAAACATGGGAGAGACAATGTTGTAAGAGAGTGAAAGAAAAAACATTAAATTTGTTTAATGAGCTTCAGCCAGCCTCATTATTACTGTGTAGTTTATTTTTAATTTTATTTAAACAATTTGCATTTGCATTCTCTGTCCAGAAAAACAATAAACAATGCTATTTAGTTACTCATTTCAGAAAAATGACTTCGCATTTTTTTATTTTTTTTTTTTTTTAATGAACAATTTTACAAATAAAGCAAGTAAATCTGTAATTTGTGAGGCAAACCACAGTTTTTAACTTTTAACAATTGTTCGTAATTTGCAATGCGTCAATTGAAAATAAAAATATAAACAAAAAAAAACTGAAAATATTAGTAACAAAGTCGTTATAGTTAACAAATTACTTAAAAGCAAATGTATGAAATGGTTTGGAGACAATGTATTAACATGTGATATATCAGATTTTCTAAGAACCTGACGATCAATAAACGGAATTAAACCAAATAGTTGTGATCGTCTAAAAGTATGTGTAACAATGATCGAAAATTTATAAATTTCAAAAATAGATTTGTCGATAATCTAAAATGAATTACTTCTTTATGGCACAATTCCATATTCTCGCGTGCAACTATAAATTTTAGAAAATTTTAATTTTCTGTGCAACATTTTCTACTATGTCAATATAGTCTAGTTATAAGCACATCAATCTTCACATCGATTTCGATTTTATTTGAAAACATAAAACATATGAAATTATATGTGATTAATGTACAAAAAGCATAATATACTAGATGCGGCTAGGGTATTATTGTAACCCGAGTAGATCTATGTTGTAGGAAGCACGAAAGGAATTACAAATTTCAAATATATGGGTTAGAATATGATTATGTTAGGGGTAGGCAAAACAACATGGGCTATACCAGCAAATAGCCAGTGTAATTTAAATTAGATTGGGGTATGTAAAAAGAAGAGGTATTGTTTAGAATTAGAAATGACCATTCGGAACAAGGACTATACCAGCAGATGGCGTGTGTAATTTTTATTATTGTAATCAATAAAGAAAGTTTAGAGATTCTTAGCCCGAAATAACAAGAACTGTTATATTATAGCAACATAAACAATATATTAAATAGTAAATAGGTTCACAGAAACAATTATTTATATGTGCACAAATGTGAATATATATAAAAGTAATATTAGCGTGAAAATATCCGCTCTATGCTCTTACTAAAAGCGGTGTCTTTACCCAAAGTACAACAAGGAAATAATAATAATTAATTATAATAATAAATAATAATAATTAGTAATAATAACAAATAATAATAACGTTAGCGTAAAAATATAGATATATAAATAAAATTGACTTTGTATATGATTAAAATTCAAACTAATATTAATTCACTACTTAAGAAAATGAATAATGGCATATAATAATATTATAATAATATTCTAATTAATTCTATTAATAATTACAGCACTAATATTTTTCTTAAAAAGCTATATAAATATTGTTAAATGCATTTTTTAAATAAACAAGTTTTAAAGTTTTGAATTTTTTAACAGATTGAAAATGATCTACGAGTTCAGATTTTTTTGACATAAAATGAAAGATTACACAATGACAGCATTTAAATAAAATAATCAAGTGAATTTTTTTGAGTATTTAATTAATTTTAAAAGTGTTTGTTCACTAAAAAAAAATCTTAAGATAAATTGAAAAAAATTTTATATAAGGCAACAAATATGCATGTTTACTACAAATTCGGATTATTACTGATTTTTATACTCAGCATAAGGTAAAACAACAAATAATGATAAAATAAAAAAACTAGACCTTGACATTAATATAGTTTATAATTTAATTACTCTTATTTAACAAAATAATCATATATTATTTTATATAAATTAATATTAACACTAAAACCTAACAATATGTAAAGTTTTTGTATTTATATAAATTTAATATATAATTATCTTCACTTTATAATTACAATTATAAAGACATGACTTGTTATGTTATCAATATTTATATAACTCCAATTTCTATTCTGCAATAGTTTTATTAAAAATAAAGTATAAATGAGCTTTATTTTTTTTCTAATGTAATATATCAAATTTATCATAAACTTAAGTTTAATTTTATATATAACAAAATGCGTAAAAATAACATTACTTTTAAGAAAAATCTGGACACAAAAAATGCTTTTATTTATTATAATCTTAATAATAATTATACAGCTATTATAAAATAGATGTATTATCATTGTTTGTGTCTAGCATCAAAAGAATTTAATGTATGGAATCTTTCTTCTTCTTTCTCGAAGTAATAACATATTTAGATAACAATACTGATAATCGTTCTTATATAACATAGAAAGTGAATTTGTTAATAAAACTTTCACAGCAAATACACAAAACTCCAAAAAATTGTGCGAACATAAAAGTCAAGCACAGCTTGGGGCAGTTGGTTAACGAGCGCTGACTCTGAGCTTCAAATTTGACAGGGCACGAGTTTGATTCCTGGTACTTGCAGTCTCAAACAAATTATTAACGAATAATTAAATACCAGAAGTATTTCCAAGACCACTGATGATGGGTTAGGTATTTGGCAATACTCGAAACAGCTGTATGGTCAGCCAAAAATATAATAATGAATATTTTTGTTGTAGTTCACTACTATTTCAAAAACCTCTTTATTATACTGATTAAGTCTAATAGAACAGATACAATATATTATCATAATTTTTATCTAACATGAAAGAATATGATCCTACCTATATTTATGAAACTATTTTTTGTTTCTACAAATCAAGAATACCTTGAATATATAGATATCCATAGATTGTTCATATAATGCGAGTTGTTAAAGAATAATAGTGTTCTATATTATTATCGTAAAAATAATATAATATTTTACTATCGTTATAAAGGTTTTTCTCTATCTAACTTACTTTCATTAATAGCTAATTAATATAGATCAAGAGGTGAAATATGTTTTGAATAAGATGCATACTGTACACTTAGATCTAACGTCATCTGCTTGATAAATTTTGTATGGACTTTTCAAAACTTAACTTACATTTTACACTTTTAGTTACAATAAAAAAGATTTTATTCATTTCAACATTTAAATGTTTTCAGTCAATTTATGATAATTAAGTAATCAATAAAATTTTAATTTACATTTTTTGCTATAAATTCTATTTTTGCACTAAATTTTTACTTAATGCCAAAGTACAAAGTGTTTTACTTTTAAAACTTGAACTTAATTGCGATAACAACCTATGAGAATGTTTAAAGTTAATTGTTTGTGTATTCATTTAGCATTTATCCAAGTTGTCATAATGTACGTATATTTGATCTGGACTTTGTACTAACAATTGAGTAATTACTTCAGTTTTAAATAAAAAAAACACAAACACTTGGTAACAATTTAAGAAGTATTAAAAAATTTTCTATAATAATTTAAGAAACAAAATTTCTATGACGATAACAAAACCCAATAGGTTGTAAATTTGCAATAATTTGATTAGGACAAATATTTACATTTTTATATTTTTTTAAGGGTTTATATTAATTAATAATTGTTATTTAAAGTCATCTTGAAACTAATATTTTCTTTACAAATGCTTAGATATAGAACTTGTCCCATAACAGAATTTTGCATTAATAAGAAATCTTGTACGTTTTTATTCTTTTTTTTTTTGAATTTTGAAAAATGTATTATTTATATCAGTGTTTTTTAGCTTAAAACGTATTGTGAACTGAAAAAAAAATCAATGAGTTTTACAAAAATTGTTCTAAGTGGTTTTAAACCATGAATTTTTCTCTATATACGGTAACACAATGAGCCAATAGACCTAAGTAGATTCCCTAGGTATAGCCAATATAATTTAAAGTAACCTATGCAAGAATTAATACCAATATCATTCTTTAAAATAATATCATTAGAGAAGAAAATACAATATTTTAAGGATTGTTACCGGGCCGCGAACCGGTGGTTGAGAAACCCCTCATAAATAATACAAATTCGAATATTTTATATTCAAGAAATTTAAATTTTTTAATTTGAAAGATAAATAAAAAAGACACCATTCTTATCATTAGTGTAACTATTTTAGGTTCAATATAACTAATCATCACTGCAAGATAATTAATAGGTTAATAAACTTAACTTTTATAACATAATTAACTTTTTATAAAATAAAATACCTGTTAGAAGTTAACTTTATCAATGTTCAATGTTCGACCTATCAATGTTCGATTTTCAAGGAAATATTGTTATATATTTTTACTACAGGCATTGTTAAAATCAAATTTAAATGTTTTTTATTATTGTTAAAATATTTATATTTCTATATATTTTTGTTATAATTATATAAACAATACAATAATGAGTAATCAATGTGTTAATGATTGCAAAATAAAATTTTTATTGAAATGTGTATTTTGAAACAGTATCACACTCTTAATTCTTTTTTCTTTTTTTTTTGAGTTTCATTTATATTAATAAAATTAATGAAATGTAGTTTTATAATATATGAAGTGAGAAAATTTATAAGCAAATTTGAATATATATGATTTTTCATCATTATCTTTGTAGCACTTTTATAATGTATATTTTTATTTAATATGTCCCACAAAATACATGGTGTACTACTTGCAATTTTTAGAATATGCTATTAAACATAATAGTAAATTAAACACAATATACTTTAGATAATAAAAACAGTAAAGTATAAAAAATTTTAGTAAAAAGAAGCCACAAAAATCTAAAGTGGCTAAAAATGCATAAAAAGGTATTTAGACAGTACCCGGTATTGGTAAATTTTAAAGTATAAAGAAGCTTTTGTGAAATTATCATATACCGAGTTAAGGAGTTCGGTTTAAACCGTCCATATATTTCCATATAAGTGTCAAAGATACTCAATTTTGACAACAAAAAAATAAATAAAAAATTAATATTTACTTAAAAAATTGTATATATTTAACATTTTTTTATAATTATTTTCTTAAATTTATTAGAAGTGAAATAAGTAGTTCTGTTTACGAAGCATAAATTTGTATTCCATTACGAAGTGAAATCATTTTTCGTGTGTTATGTAGTGAAGCAGGATTACTGACAAATATAACCATAAACAGACAGTAATAAGTAAAAAGAATACCATACAAAACGTTAAGTCTGCAAAACAGCAGATAGAGACTATGAGGCTAAATAGTAAGATACAAAACAAAAACCGGTCAAATGTCGTTGAAACCATAGTGCAAACATGTTTGAGTTTCAGCACGTCCATTAAATAAGATTCACAAAAAAAAAACATATATATAATAACAACAAACAAGCCATAATTGCAGTAGCTTATGTTGACATGACGTATACATATAAATGCAATTGTATAAAAATAACCACTAAGATACATACTATATGTTTATATGGATATGTTTATATGGGCGGGAATTAGCTATTTGTAAGACACCACATCAAAAAAAGTAGGTCAAGCATAAAGGACAATTAGCATACCTAGGAAGAAGCGATAAATACACAAGGAACGATTTCATAAGTTTGCGTGAAGTCTTCCAATTTATAATAAAAAAAAATTTAAATATGGAGGATTATAGTATTATAGGGGAAAAAAATTACTTTATATATAAAATAAAATCATTTTAGTGTAGTAGATATTTTTAGGTGTGTTTAAGCATTTTTATTAATTAATTAGGTTAATCATAATAATGTCTATAAATAAAAATTCAATAAGCTACAAAATTATAGCTATCAAAAACTTAATAATATATGAAATTATTTTAGCTCTTTCGTTTCTCTTTGCTTTACAATATTGTGAATATATTATTTTATCATATGAAGCAAAATAGTCATTATCATCACAAATAAATAGGACTAATATAGTTAATTAATTAAATAATACAATAAATAACTAAAAGGACATTTGCCATCAGATAATAATGTTACAAAATATAGTTAATAAATTTGAAATGGTTGAAATGTTTTTTTTAACATTTGCTCTTCCATAATTTTAGAATTAAAACAATAAATTTCAGTCTATTAACACAATGAATATATTTTTTAAAAACCAAAATTAAAATAATAATTTAATATGTTTACTTAAAGTAAAACAGACGATTGATTTAAAGAACTAAAATACTTGGATAAATTATTAGTTAGAAATATTTAATTACGACTTTCAATAATAACTATGTTCACACCAAACAAATCTCTTAATTTACAATCAAATTAAATTAAGATATTTAGAAACTGTTCACACTGCTTTAAATGGCACAAATTTTAATATATTTTATGTTTCAAAGCAAATGCCAAGTTTTTATATCCACATTTAAAATAAATGTAATAAACTATCTTCATTTATTTTGCGACTCTAAAGTAATTTGTGAACTAAAAACAAATCTAATAACGAATAAATTAAGATTTTTACTAAATGAAAGCAAAAAATATAAATCACCAGAATGTTGAATTGCGATATTTAGTCAAAATATTAAATAAAATTATATATAAAAAATTTAAAAAGAGAGATAATCTAAAAAAAATTGAAAAATTTTTTAAAAGAAACGTAGTTTATTTATAAAATAATACTAAAAAATTACTTCAACAATAACTTGTAATTTAAAAAATAGTTTCATACTTGATACCATAATAAATTCAAATACAACTAAAAAATTAAATAACAGAAATTAGGAAGACAATTTAAGCTGATATTTATACCCAAAAAAAACTTATATTGAACTATACACAGCAATAATAATCTTTTATTAGTCAATGATTACACAAACAAAAATAATAAAAGTATTCATAACTTATCAATTAACACAAATTTTCCTTATTACATACTTAACATAACTGTTTTATGACTAAATGAGCAACTACCGATAGAACATCTAATAATTAATTAATACCTTTTAATTTATCTAATCGTATAATAATATAAAAATGTATATAAAACAAATTTGACGTTATATTTTGCAGTTCTTATCTAATCTTTTTTAAAAACATGTACACAGTTTATGAACGGTTCGCGCTAATTAGTAGCTACCTATCAATAAATTGATAGTTCGTTATGCTCAAATTATCGGTTCTATAAAGCACAAGAAGTCTTAAAACATATATAATTATATGAACCAGAAACCAAAATTATAGAAAAACCTTATATATATATTTTTTTTTTACTTAACTGTTAATATATCAATTTAGTGGCATTCAAAATTTTAGGTACACTATAAAATTTAATATATACCTACATGATACACAACCGACTACTATGAAGAGTATGCTAAGATAAATATATACAATATACAGTCAAACTTCCATAACTCTAACTACTATAATTCGAATTTTCTATAAGTCGAACTAAATTGAGTGCAACAGGGTTTAGAAGCAAATTACATACAATTACAAAAAAATTCTTTAACTCGAGATCTCCGTAAGTCGAATCTTTTCTTTGCAAAATGATACTACGAGTTATAGAAGTTTGACTGTATATATTAAAAAATATACTGTATTTAAGGGAATAAGTTACTTTTTTATTATTATTATTTTATTATAAAGTTATTATTATAAAAATAACTTGGAAAGTATGAAACTCAGTAAAATACTTAATATATGATAGTCTCATTTAACTTAGGATATTACCTATGTATGTCAAGTTTTATATAACTCAAAAATAATATATTATAATATATGAAATATAAAAATTCAAATCTTATAATTAGAATTATATTAATTTATTTAATTTTTGTTCAAGTATTTGTTGTGTATATGGAGCGCCATCTACAAATCGAAGCTCATCATATGATGACGAATATGCTGATTACTATGACGACTACTATGATGAACCCGAACGTAATACTCATAATTCTACAGATATGAATAGACTGAAATCAACAACTACAACTACTACTACTACAAAAAAACCATTTCTATTTAATAATATAGGTAATTACAATAAATAATTATCATTTTAAACTATAAGATTTTATAAAAATAATCAATTTTTATATTCCAATGACATATATAAGATTTACCAAAACGCAGCAATCATGTACTAGAACCAAATTGTCCTAAAACTTGCCTCTGTTTGGAAGATTACAAATATATACAATGTGCTAATGGACGCTTAACACATGTGCCAAAAGATTTACCAAACACTGCTTTAATTATAGATTTAAGTAATAATCGAATCAAAGAATTACTTCCAACTGATTTCACTAACTGCACGAAAGTGCGAGAAATTAATCTAAATTATAATGAAATAGCAGAAGTTAAAAAAGAAGTAAATATATAAAAATCAAATACAAAAAAATAAATATAAATATAAACAAATGTTTATATATTGCAGGTTTTTGAAGGCTTGCGTCGTTTGCAACGCTTGCGCTTAGCTAACAATCGTTTAACAGAGCTAAGTTCTGATGCTTTTTCAGGCGCCTATGACCTGAGCGCTTTGGACTTAAGCAATAATTCCATAGTTCTAAATAATGATGGCTCTTTTTTGAATCAACCGGGATTATTAGAATTATCATGCCGAAACTGTAGTTGGACGGAATTATACAATGACACATTCACAAATCTCAGCACTTTAACTACACTGAAATTGGATCATAATGACTTTAATCTGGTATGTGTATATATAACAAAGAAACAAAAAATATTTCATTTTAAAATTTATTTTGACTGGCAACACTCGCACACATGCAATGAGTAAGAGAATAACAAATAAAGCTTTTTAAAGCTTTAAGTTTTTAGTTCTGTTTCTCACGCACATAAACAAATTATTTGACGTTTCTTCATTCTACAACTTTTCTTTGACAGAAAATCAATACTAAAGCTTTCACTCCACTGCGAAATCTTATTAAGTTGAGGTTGCCGGAATTGGATCAACAGAGCGTACAGGAGCTCTGTAATTTATTGAAATCTATCGATAATATAAGTTTTAAACATTTTGATATAAGTTGTTTTGAACTTGTTTTGGGTTCTTCGTTTAATGAGAGTTTAATATTAGCCACAGATCCGCCGTATATAGCACCACCAGACTCGGACAACAAGCTAACAACAACAACTGCAGCTTCAGTGAAAAAGACAAAGCAACCACAAAATAACAGAAGCGGTAAAATATAATAATATTTTACAGTTTTTAATATTCTTATAAATATTTATTTCGCTTTTTTTTTATTTTTTTTAAACTAGAATATAATATGACGAGCTCAATTCTACAAACAATTGACCTGACGAATCTAACACAGTCTAGTGAAAACAACAGCGATTCCAATGAGCGGCCAATTTTAACTGCTAACATATCACCAACAAAGACTGCTGTAAATAATGAGCAAGAAGAGAAAGCATATCAAGTTCCAATTTCACAGGAAGCCATAAATATTATGTTGATAAGTAAGAATCAATGAATCTTAGTATAAAAATAACAGTAAATAATCAACTTCAAATATTTTAGGTATTATGGTCATCGCTTTAATTGGACTAATAATTGGTGTTATATGCCGCACAGACGTTGGTGGTATAAAAACCAAATGTTGTCGCACACACAAACCAGAACCAAAGGATCAGGTGCATCCAACTGAGGAGATACCACTTAATAAGTTATCTTAGTAAAAAAAAATCTGCACTAAATATTAGTTAAGTAGTTTTAGTTAGGTTTAGGCAAACGATGAACAAAAATTCAATTAATTGTATGAAATGTTTAGAACTTTATTCCATAAAAAACTAAAACGCACCCAAATGCACTTCGACAAAACTTAGTTTAAGTCAATTAGGTTATTTAATTAGCATTATGTTTGAGAATTACACTCAGCTAAATACTATTAATTTAAATTCAATATAAAAAATTTATTTCAGAAATGTCAAAAATCACAAGATAGAAGATTTTATCGCTTAAAATTTTATTGTAAGCGTTCCTTAAGTTTAAGTTGCCTAGTCTTCGGCGTGCTTAGTTGTTCAAGCTGACAACAAATAAATTATTGAAAAAGCATTTAAAGTAGTTTTATTTACTAGGTCAAATTAAAGGCAATTTATAAAAAAATTAAAAAATTTACTCGCACAAATAATTAATTAAGCACGGAAATTAACTTTGCTTTGAGAGCGTATAGTTTATTGAAACAGAAATCAATTGAAATTTAATTTCATAGTAATTTAAATAAAAAAGTAATGTATTTTAATTTGACAATTACGACTATAACACTAACAAATAGAAAAAATATATATGTACGGATGCACATACAAACTAACATTAGATATACCATATGTGTATAAATGAGAGTAGTATAAACAATTTCAATGTGTACTTTTGGCTAAAGTACTTGTTATACTTGAGGGATCACGAGAAAATGAAACTAAAATTTCAATATTTATTAATTTATTATTTATTCTACGTATAATAAATATGGTTTCAATGAAACTGGAAATGAAAAAAAGAAATAAAAACGTAGATAAAAACTTTAATGCAAGCAATTATTCTATTTAGTCATTGATAGATGGAGTGTTTCATTTATAAGATTTAAATGACATGCAACCTTAAATGATTACATTTAAGTTAAAATCTTATTTAAACAGTTTTTATTTAAGTGGCTTGTTTATATACAAAACTAACATTTAAAAAAAAATACAAAAATTTTATTTATATTCTATAAAAATTGCACTAAAGCATTTTAAGATTAGAGTTAAAAATTCTGAATGCTATATCCGTGCATATGAAATATTAAAAGATAAATTTATTAAAACAGAAGTAAATGCAGCAAAATGGCTAGTGGAGGGATCATTTTTTTAAAAACAAGAAACTAGCTGATAGCTATACATGTCTTATATTTTTACTAAGCTTTAATCTATTTCGAACCACCGTGTGGTGCACCACAAGGCTAGTGTAAAGATAAAGTGAGAGTAATCTTTCCCGCGAAAAAGGTGTTTGAAGCAGTAGTTGGCGGAAGAAGACGTAGAGGTAGACCGTGTTTCCGGTGGAGTGATCAAGTTGAGGGACTGGAGAAGGCGCGCACGCAGCAGAGGCGCTTGTTATGGCCAAATAAGTAAGTAATCTTTCAAATAAACATTAAACTCTTCTCATTTACTTAAACTTGTTTTTTTTACTATTTACTATGGAAATTTCATCGTAAAATTTCAAGTTTGAAATTGCCTGGTACTTAATGGGTTAAGTACAACAAAAACTGTAAGGTGTTTACACTATGCAAAGCAGCTGAGGTCATTTATGTTTGTTTTTATTTTTATATTTCCCAAAATAATTAGTTTAATATTTACCTAATATTAATATATTAATGAATTTCAACATAAGCGATGCTTTAATTATGATATTGTTAAATGAATGTCATGACGACTAATTAAATATCATAAATGAGTTTTGGAACAATTTATTCAAATGTGAACATAAAAAAATTATATGATAGTCATTGATTTTCTATAAAAATAATACAATAAATAGTCAATTAATTATTTTACATGAATGGTTATAATGGTATGGTAATGGTAATTTTAACAGTATATGCCTAACACAATACCATAATCGTAACAACGCCTCATAAATCTTGGGTGAAAGTTCTCGGGTCAAAGTTGCTGTTAATAAGTCATTTTTCATCCACTGAATGTATTGAAATTCTAAAAATTTATTTAATAAATTCCGACTCAATTTTCGCTTGATGAATATAACAAAAAAAAAAGTTGTTACATATGGGACAATAAATATTCTTAAACAATTGTTAAAAAATCATAATATGGTGTGCCATTTGATCTTAAGTTGTCCTGGGCCTATACCTTTTTTATTTTTGGTGAAGATAAAAAGTGTTACAAACCCTCAATTGTGATTGTTACAGCTACATAATTACAAATTTTCTTTTAAACTGATTTGGAAAATATGGAAGTGAAAGAATTGTGGTTACAACAGCACAGTCCCACAAACCACACAACACGTCCTATTGTCGTTTTGTGACATGAGAAATTTTTCAGAAATACAATTTTAAGTTTAGTGATGTGAATTGACCAACATCATGCGATTTATCACCACTATACTTTTCTTAGGGGAAGACGGAATTCTATGTTAGAGAGATCATAACGTTATGGTTGAGCTATTATCAGCTATGTTCCGACAGGTTATCAAAAATTATGTCAAATGCATCCAGCACATAAAGTGTCACTAATTAAATATAAAAGTGACAAAAAACCTGGAACTTGAACATTGAAAGTTTGTGCAGCCTTGACTACTTGCAGAAAAACACGATTAGTCATTGCTTCTAATTTGACAGGCACGAGTTCTAAGACTGGCACTTGCAGTCCAAACAAATTATATACAGACTATAAACTAATAAAAAAGAAATTTAAATATTTCCTAAGACCACTGATGATGAGTACTTGACGATACTCGAAACAGCTTTGTATAATCAGCCAAATTTCAATAAATTAACTAAAAATTTTTGTCTTTGTCTTTTCTTTGCTATTCGAATCCGTCTAACTTTTAAATAGTTTATTTTCGTCATAAAGATGCATCACTCTCGGCAAGAAAAAATTAATATTAAAAAATTATTTTTTGTTGAACCTGAACTTTAGAGAATAAAAATATTATATCATGTGTTTAATTTTTGCAGGTCTGGAAAAAATAAAACACATATAAGTTTTGAGATCGACACCAATATAAACATATTAATATTATATAATATATTTTATTAGTTGAATCAATGAATCAATACAGAAGTTACAGAGTAAAATTGACAGTAGACCTACATATATCAGTAGCAAGGAACAATAGCGAGGGAAAAACGTATCCATATCTACAAATAAAAACCTTTTTGGTGTCCTAGTCAGTTTAAATTTTTTTATGAGAAAAAAAGTTTTAATATAATTTGAGGTTTAAAACGCACAGTTGTATTGCAACTACTTTTTAACTTTTAGGGCAATAAACATTTAATAATGACCTTAATCTAGAATTAAGTTTTGCTTGTAACGTAATTCACCATTTTTTTTGGTCAGAAACCGTTTATTGCATTCTGAAGCATTTTACTATATAACGGAACAACCGATAGAATTTGTCTAGTACATATTTACAATAACAGTGATGTTCTGTCTGTAGTCAGACTGACTTCACCTCAGTCATTATTATAACATTTAGTTCAACTGTGCTGTTTTGATATTTTTGCAATACTTAAAAAAGTTCTTTTAATCGTAATTGTTACAATTTTATGACGAGGCCAAAAGTTTATAAGTATAATACACAATAAATAAATAATGAAAAATAATTAAACAACAAAGTAGATCAAAAAGTGAAACAAAAAATTGTGTTAAACCCTTGTACACCTTTTTTATACTTTTTATAAACAATTTAAAAACTAGGAAATAATTATAAAATACAAAAATTCACTTGACATATAAACTCACAATTAAATTATTATTTGAAAAGTCTTGTTATTTTTGTTAATTAAAAAATTTCAAAATCTTTTGTCTTCATTTTGTTTGTTTACTTTCTTACTAAATAATTAGCAAAAGTTCAATTTAATTTTATAAATAGTAAATTTTTCGGCTTGCCTGATTTAAAATAGACGCAAATCTAATCAAAATAAACAAATCAGACGCCACGTTTCTCCACACAAAGAATTTTAGACCTCGGCAAATGAGTGCGTACTGCGTCAATTGACCCAGTTTAGTTTTATTGGTCTCTCTTCACACATATGTTTTATTGAAATTCCTTCAGAACAGTTTTTGCACTATTTACTTAAAAAAAAAATGCGGAAAATTTTGCGCATTATAACTCTGTCAACGCTCTATATAATTTCCTGATATTGTAAAATAAAAACGCGTTTATTATTATTAACACAAGACGTCATTAAATGAGTCGTAAAAGAATTTTCATTTATGATTTTTATAGTCAAAATTTAATATTAAAATTAAAAATAAAAATTTATAGCAAGAAATTTAAACTCGAATAAATTGGAGAGTTTGTTTGGCGAAGAGTCGTTGGCAATTTTTAAATTATAACTTAAAATCAATCCATACTGAAACTGAAGACACCTATGAGGTCCACATTTTTTATTTTATTTTATCTTAACCGGATATGCGAAGTGTATCTAAATTTGTGAAATTTAAATCGACTCGTTTGTTTACATATAATTTGCTTAGTTGGACTTGTGAATTTCCCTCTTCGTTGATTGCACTCAATGTATTTTTGCCTACATTATTTTGACCACGTCTCGCTACCAAATTTTTTACTCAAAAACGCAATTATTTTTATTTACGTTATTAAAATAAAAAGACGAATTAAGTGACGTACACAGTTAAATACTTTTCTTGAGTCATTGCACTTAGAGAATTGTTTACTAAAAAGTGCAAATCAAATTTATCATATAAGTTATTTATTTATTTTGACATAGAGAATAATATTTGAATATCTGAATTTTTTCGTATAACTATAACAATAACGGTGTTGCAAATCAGTATGAAATTTTAACTTTTACAATATAAATATCAAAAAAAATCTATCATTATCAGTACAATTAATATTTAATTTTAAATTTTCGTCCATTATATTATTGTTTAAAATAACAATAAAATGTTCTTATTTTAATAATTGTTAAAAAAAAATAATGAGGTGTTTTTATAGCGCAGGATGACAAATATATAGTCATAAAATCTAGTCTACAAATAATTATTTGAAAACAGAATATCATTCCTCATTCTATTATTCTATTCCTTTTTCGGCAAATGCCATATCAATATCAAAGTTCACGCGGGTTACCACGATTTTTATTGATCCCGAGGTTACATAGAGTACACACATATAGATAATATGTTATACCAATAACAAATGCGCTTTATTGGGGTTTAAATATTAGATGTATGGAATCTCATTACTTTTCAAATCAATGAATACATATGTACAGTTTATAAAAATAAATTATATATATAGTATATACATATAATATATTATACCAATAACAAATGACATTTGTTGGGGTCATACATTTATTAAATATATGGAATCTAATTACTTTCCAAATTAATTAAGAGATAGAGTTTATAAGAATAAATTAAAATAATTATAGAAAATATACGTTGTACCAAAAATTTAGAGAAAAGTCTAAATACAATTTTTTACGAATTCAATAAACGTATGAGAGTATGTAGAAGTTTTAAAATTAATAAAAATAATTAATAATATTAACTAAAACATTAGAGAAAATAAAATAACGACAGAAATTTACAAAGAATTAAGAATGGCCTGTTAGACTGTTCACAGGACAAAACAGGACATAAGAAGGGCCAGAAAAATTTCACTAAAAAAACTACCACTACGACAATGTTAAGACCGAAACTTTATTCCAGTAAAGATAGAGCAGCTGACAACTTCCTGTTAGACTATTCACAAGACAAGACATGAAATAAAAAGATTGAGAAAATTTTTCACTAAAAAAAGCACCTCCATGGCAATATTAGCACCGAAAGTTTATTGCAGTAAAGGTAGAGTACTATAAGGGGAATTGCTAAAGGATCAAGAAAGACAAGAATTCTTTACAAACATTACAGGTCTGAGACTATTCAAAGTGCCATTAAGCAACTACAATCGCAAAGATTTAAATTCTATATTCGCTTATCCGAGAATAGATTAAGTATGTTAAACAAACTTTCAGCCAGCCACAATAGTGGAAAAGACATCTAAATATCATAGGTATGACATCAATCTACATGTACAAATTATACGACAAATAATCTGAGTCAACAGAGCACTTTTCAAGAATATTAGCGGAACTATTGTGCAAAAGATAAAGGACAATCAATTCCAGATAAAGATTTAACAATGCTAAACCAAATCCATATTCTTGAATTCTTAAGAGCGACGAAACTGGATAAGATTTTATAGGACTTTACTTATAGATTACTGTGCCCCTCTACATCTCTTAGTGACAGTACTATTATATATCACACACATAATATAATGGCAATGCTAATATACATCATACACATAATAATAGAACTAAAATAAAAATGATTTATAATTAAAGACAAGAAGTAATATACTTCAAATACAACAAGTTTTAAAGGAAATAAACCAAGAAGTTGAATATATATAAAAAGATTAGTTCAATATCAAAAAATTGTTTAGTATTTAGAAGGAAATTCAGAACAACAGAATTTTTGTATATAATTTACTATACATTTAAAACTGAAATGATATTGATATGTTTATTAATATTTTTAATTTATAAGAGTACCTATGGAATGAACACCATAAATTCTACATGTCGCGGTACTTGCGTTTGCTTGTAGGTCGCGGTGAGTTTACTTGTGGTTTGGTCAATAACATATACCTACATTATAAAGACATCGGTACTTTTTACTTAAACCTAAAATTTTGATAATTTTTTTAATGTGTTTATTGTCTCAAATACGCAATAAAGCAAAATTTTCTATATTTTCGAAAATTATAACTATTCCATTATCTGCATTATCTACCATAACATGTATACTTTATAAATTTATATATTTTAGTGGCAGACTACATGTCTACTTTAATACAATATAAATAATAATATATTATCACTTATATTATATTATTTAATTTATAATTTAATTGTGAAATCTTTAATCAATTTTCAAAGATAAGTAGCTTTAAAAAAAATAAAAAATTCAGATAAAATAAACGATTTAACATAAGAAATATAAAATACATTAACGAAAACTGATATGGACTCTGTTTGCGGTGGTACGACTAACGTTCTAGGGGAACGGTTACACTAAATTTATTCAACCTTTTTTTTATTTAAGACAAATTTAAAAAAAGATGGTAGAAAATTGAACTGTTTCCTGGCGTCAAAAAAATTTGCTCCGCTACTTTTTAATCAATATTATTTTCTTTAAAAATTCTATAAAACGTAAAGTTAAATTAAACAAATACTTTAAAAACTAGGAAAAAAAAATCATAATTACAAGTCCAAATAAAAAAATAATGTATATTTTCTATCAAAATTGTATAATAAAATGATTTGTCCTATCAGATCGGAATATTTTTTTGAAATACAAATATATATGTGTATCCTATGAAGTATGTTTCTGATAAAATATTTTAATATTTATAGTATGTTATATAGTAAAATTTTAAAGACAAGTATTTACTACAAGGAACTTATTACATTCTTCATGATTTCTACAATGATCTTGTATTTTTGAAATTCATTAAAATTTTTAAATTAAACGAAATATTAATATATACCTACAGCATTTATATTGTATTATATTATATTATATATATAATTTTTAATCTTTCGATTCATAGGAGATTAATATAGATTTTCTTTCACAGCAATCCACTAAATTTATTTATTAATGTTATATTCTTTCTATGTTGATAATAATAAAATATATATCATATATAATATATTAATAATATATCTAAAGCTCAAATATTTTTTTTACTAAAAGTTTTAATGCTTACCTCCATAACTAAATTTACACAGTCCTGCGACTCCTTACAATCCAACAACGCTACCACATTCTCGTGATGTAGCTCGGTCAATTCTTTTAAAATCTTTATTTCTTTACCGAGTAAGTTTTGTGTTTTAATTAGACCCTTTTTTGTGATACATTTTATGGCAACTGGGAAGTGTTTCTAAAATAAAAAGTTAGAAAATTAATATTTTATTAAGATCTTAATAAAAGTAGAAAACATATTGAATAGAATTAAATTAAATTAAAGTAATTATCATATTCATATATATTAAATTAATTCACATAATAAAGTCTATCAAAATATAGAATATTAATTAAGGTTAATTTTAACATTTTCGTACATACTATAGCTTATTTGAAATTTTATTTATGTACTATTATACCAATCCTGTAAATTCAAAGACTATAGATTAGAACGTATTAAGTACTTCCACAGCTAACCTAATATTTTTCTTTCACTACAGCATCAATAACATCAGGTTTTTGTTTTATCCTTCCACCATGAAAGAAAAGCATTTATGGAAAAGACTATCTATCTAACTATACTCTCTAATTTGATGTAGCAGTAACTCTACGTAGAAACAAGTTAGTACCAAGCGCAGAAAAACTTTAAGGATATAGTAAGCATATATGTTAGATTAAACTTAGTTAGAGTGACGGTCTTGTACCCCAAAGCCCAGTTGAGCACAAATAACGGCTCAAATAACGTTATGATACCATGGATAAAGAAGTTGCTATTACAACAAAATAAGAAAACCACCAAAATAGATATAAAGACCAAAGTTATTTGGCAATAGACAAGGTCTAATACAACAGACTCGACTTTCCCATTCAAATAAAAACCAGCTTAACAAGTCAATAAAGTTAACTATATCTCTAATTTTGAAGGCTGATAGCTGTCAGATCGATGAAAAAGGGACCCCAAAGATATTAAATCTTCTACTGATCAATGTGGGCACGAAGAGAAGATATAACCGTTTCTTGCTTTTTTGCAGAACCTCGCCTACGACAAAATCACTACGAGATAGACCAAGTCTCATTGCATAACCCCCTTTTACGCTTTTACCCTTTTACGCATTTAGCTATAGTTATCATAGTACTGAGTAGGTTCTACTTTAGTTGAAGCAACTGTCTAGAAGGTATCCTGTAAGTCCTGCAGTCTGTGACAAGAATGTTCATCTTAATTTTTTTTAGTTATTGCTAACTTTTTTTGTTTGATAGCCAACTTAGCCGTTGCGAGTGGAATATCTCTGTCCAGAAAGTGAATTTAAGAGTTTCTCGATGAAATTTCTAGACAGCCCTAAATTTACTGGAGAGGAGATGTCTCCGTGTCAAGATGCTCATATTAATTGGACACTAACAAACCCAGCCAACCCAACTGAGAAAAGTCTAAAATTCTCAGACTATTAAGAATGAAGTTACAACGCTTACTAGAGATTTGACATCAGTTTATGTATCCGAGAACGATATTTATATCGAGTATCTTGTTACTCAGGGCCCATTTCGTTGTTTAATAAATATCCAATACTTCAACTTAAAAGATGCTTATTATAAAACATTAATAGATATTGCTAAAATATTTTGCGGTTGCTTTTATTCACAAAAGTTACTCTGGTTTTCAGGTTAAAAAAAGTATCAAATGAATGGCATTAATATGAGCCGAATGTATATTTACACATTATCGCTATCTAAACTTTTATGTATAATGCTAATATTAGTTCTAATTTACAGAAAAAAAATATTTTCAATACGTAATATATTTTGGTTAAACAAGAAAGAAGATTATTAGTTAGCATCAGAAGAAATTTAAACCTTTAAATTCAAAAGCCACAAAAATATTAAAATCTGACAAATATAGCAGTTTTGTTTTACTTAATTGATTTTGTTTTAAATATACAAATGCTTATATCGAAAAATACTTTATTTTGATACTGGTAATGGATATATAGAGATAAAACACGCTCTTTTGACACGTGTTGCACGTGTTAAGATCACAATTCAGTAGACCTACCTGACAGTTGATGAAACTGTTTTTATTTTTTAAAAATTCAAAAGAGTATTTTATTTGCACTTTTCCACTAACTTTGAATTGTTAATGAAGCGATGTTGATCACAAAACCAGATACACATATGTAAGTGAAATAATTAAAAAATTAAATATTTATAAATACATATATAGTACCTGGGGGATATCAGTACATCATTTTGACTTAAGTATACTCTGCTTCGAAAATTATATTACAGATGTTTTATTAACAGATAAGAACACAAAATATGAATAAATATTAAAGAATAGCAAATAAAAAGCATTAGCCTTACCGAAGATTCAATCGATTTCGATTTTCTGAATAAATTTTATTTAAGACAAACTTTTATATTTTCAGTAGGCAAGTTAAATGCTATAATAAAATTAAATATAAATTTATTTTTGGCAGTTATTTTAAATAGTCATTATACGATGAAATTAGAAAACACTAGAATCGCAACATACATCAACAGAGGGACACCACACAAGAGAGTTCTTTCACTCATACTTTCTTAGAGCAGAACCAAGTTAACATAGTTGCATAAGATAATGATGTGGTAATACCAGTCACCTGTATATTGAATGAATCTCATCATGGAGGGCGAAATTAACGAATAAATCGCGAGTAGTGCTCTGATAGTAAACCCAGAGAAAATTGAGTTATTGTTATCTAGCTAAAGCAGTCTTGACGCGCGATATATCGAGATATCATACTCGATTAATAGCTTTCCAGTTAAGTTTATTAATTCTAAGCTTGATTGAAAAGCAAACGTTGAAGAATGTTTGGAAATGTAAAGAAAGTATGCGTAGCTTTTTATTTCTCTAAAATGATATTTAGGAGAAGTTGTTCTAAAATTTTTCTTCTAAACATGACTCGCTGATCTGGTACCCAACACTGTATAAACGAAAGAAAATAAATAAACTCGGATAGATACAGAGAATAACAATCTTAGGATCTACAAGGATTATGACAACATATCCTCAGCAGCTCTCATCGTTGTGGTGCACTTGATAGAATTACACATAAAAAGCAGTACTTCAATGTCGACACTTAAGACTGCATAAGAGTAAATGTTAGAAAGCCAAACCGAAGGAATATAATTTGATTCTAGCTACCGTGGTAGACAAAACGTGATAGATATGGACTACTTATGTCCCACAAATGAATTTCAAAAATCCTTTTATACAATCTTTATATCGCGAGATGAATAGGATAAGGAATTTAATACAGCCAATTGTGTTTACCATATCTTCACGTACAGATGGAAAGCAGAGTAGGTGCAAAATTCTTTGTAATTCAAAAGAATAGGTGTTTTTTACAATTTGAGCAGACCTTAATGCCGATTGGAAGATATGGGATAACGTTTTCAAATGAGATTCACTTTTAGTGCAATTTTCATTTTCGACTGACAAATCTCTAGCAAAATCTATAACAGTGAAGATTAATATATAACATTCTAGATATTTTGTCATAGTAGCAAGATCATCTTAAAATTAAATAGCTATTTTATATGACTTGACAAATAAAGTGTGATTTGATTCGATATATTTATGAAAAATATAAACACAACTACAAAAATGTTAGATTACTCTAAAAAAGACCCGATAGGGTAACAAAAGTTGAAAGATCTAAAATAAATCTAGATAGAATCCAAATTTCCCAATCGAAAACGCACTAAATAATGTGATAATAATAGATAGATAAAACCCACAACAAAGGATTAAAGGATTAAATCTTAAAAACATACTAAAAAACAACGACCAAACCGTAAATAGGAAAGGGAATAGTGACTACATCAGCACTAGCTACACTAGACGTTATCTTTATTGTATTGTTTATATATAGTATATTGTTTATTTTATTTATTTTTTAAAATTTATAACTAAATTTGTAAACAGATAAGTATTCCAATATACTCGTAACTTAGCCCCCTTACAAGCTTACAGAATCCGTTGTAATAATTTTCCGCCCTGAGGAAGAAGTTAAATAAACATCGAAGAAGTCGAAACATTGCCGAACATTATATAAATAATAACTATATAAAATATAAAACCAACTAAAAAGTTTTTTATTCTGATTCACAGAAGTCTTTAATAACACAAATAATATAAGAGAAGTTATTTATAAAGATCACTACAGATAAGTATTTAGCAATACTAGAAATAGCTGTGTGATCAGCCAAAAAATTCATTTAATTAAAAATAAAATTTTTGTTGTTGCAATTCATTACTATTTGAATTTTTGAAACTTTTATTGTAAACTCGAATATTTTTGAGACCGATCATTAAGCACTAACTTCAGTAAAAACATTATTTTGCAGATAATTCTTACCATATAAAATTGGTAAGTAATAATGTACAAATAGTTTATTAGAACATCGTACATCAACAGTTCATATTAAACAGTTGGCTTTAGTAGTAAAAATATTTTATTTTTGTGAAACAAATTCTTGTTTTAAACCACTGTGCAGCATTTTAATTATTATACATAATTTAAAATTTATATGAGAAGTTTATTTTATACTATATAGGTTTCATTATTGTTAGAAATGAAAACATTAAAAATAACATTTTCATAAATTTGTTATTTATATCACTCCAGCGAAGATACAAAATAAATGAATTTAGTACACGTATGAAGGTGCAGTATTTTGACCTGATTAAGTGTTAATTTGCTTTACACAAAATGCGTTGCAAATAGAGAATTAAGTTAACCTTTCTAAATGATAAAATAAATACAGACAGGTAAACAAATGAGTAGAGCCAGCGACGCTGATAATGCACCGATGAGATAAAGACATGTGTCTCAACTTTTTATTTCATATACTGTAATATTTGTAGACTATAAATATAGCAAATATATATACAATATATACCAAATATATATACAATATATACGATGTATGGTATAAACGGTTTTAAAACCGTATATATGTACTACAAAGTACTTTATGTGTATAAGTGCAAGTAATTGTGTAAATAAAAAAAAAAACAAATTATATATACAATTTAAATGAAATGAAAATTTAATTGATAAACAAAGTCAAAGTAACAAAATAAAAAACATTGAAGAAATTTACGTATTATTGTATTATACTCGCATTTAAGTTTGCTAAGCATATTCTAATATATAG